TGTCCGGTTCATCTCCGTCTAGATAAAGATTTGTAGCTTACATGCTGACAATGTTACCCGGTTTAAATATACTTTCATGTGGTTCATGTCTGAGATTGCATGGAAAATCCATCCACTTCAGTGCTGTTTGTGTAATTTTTCCCGTGTGGACCAATCAAGCATACCAGTGAAATTCAGTACTTTCCCTCAAAAAGCGCTTCATCATGGGTTGGCTTTGAGAATAAGACTGTGGTTCAAAATCAAACTTTTCTTGGGGAATATATCACAGTGCAAGTTTGTGCATTCCCCATTGCTTCTATCCTAAAAATATTGGAAGCCTGTTGTATTTTCTACCCAAGCACACTCCCGGATTTAGTAAGCACTGAAATTTGTCGTGCATGTCTGCTTCTTCTAAAAGAGAAAAAAATATGATATCTTCCCAACATGAAAAATGCTGGTAGAAACTGACTACGCGCTTTTGTATTTGCAATTTAGTTCTTGACAAAACGATCGGCTTCTGAAGGAAGGAATCTTTTATCTGTTGCTGTTCCATGTATTTCTTGCGGCATTACCAAATTTTGGATAAAAACCAATTGATAGCCAGTTTTTTCATGCTTGCCTGAATTTTAGCTTCTCGAGAGTTGGTTTTAAAACAAACCATACTATTGTAAGATATGTTTCATATTCTTTTTCTTAGCTCTTCGTTTTTATTAGCACTACTACCAGAACATGTAGTTTTGGATGCTTGCGGTGGCACTTCCGGCATATAGCATTTTTGGGTGGCATATATAACATATTATATGATCAAACGATGATTTATTTATTGGTACGTATATAAGCAATTTTGTCATGATATAAATTGAATGCAACTAGGTAGGTCCAGTTGCAAGAAAGGGAACCAAATCTGCTCATAAACAAACCCGGCAAATTAAGCTCAAGAGATTGAGTTACTAAAGCTAAGGGCACAGTAACTTTATCTGTTCCTGGAATTCTGGTGTGACACTTCCACAAGTCGGTATAGATTAACAATTGCATTGCACTAGTGGCACGACAGAGCTAATTTCGGTTGACTACAGACACGAAGCACACACATGGTTTTGCATCAGTTTCGGCTGACACAAACACAACATTCTACATAAGCAAAAGATGTGAAGCAGTTTACCATGGGCGCATCATCATAGTAGACCAACATATGCATTTAGCCTATGGCCAGCCCTTGACTAAGCGCCCTACCGATTGGCCTGAAATAGAGCTGAATTCAGTCAGTATGTCCGTCAGTCTCGCGAGGATATTCAGTAGGCATAGAAGTTCCCAAAAGGCATAGATAGAGCTTTTTTGCTGTCTTCTGTGAGGATATTGGAAAAAGAATTTATCTGTACACATCAGCTTGGTACACATCAGATAGCCCATGCATGTATCTTGTTTCCCTTGAATCTCTTGTTGTATTGTGACATTTGATGAACACAAAATGATCAAACAATTTATCTGTCAAAGTACAATGAGCATGGATTTGTTTCAGGAAGACGAAATGATCTTGGAATAAGAATTGTTTATGCCCAGACCCAAAGATATGTACATACAGTGCACTGGACTGTATCAATACAATGACCACGACTGAACTTGGCGGTAATAAAGCTTTAGAAAAGAAGGGATTTGGCAGTTACTCATATCATCCTGAAACCACCAATGCACCTCAATTATGCAAAGCTTCGGAGAAAATTAAACTTACATAAAGGGAAGAAAGAAAGTGGCACCTGACCGAGCAACAGGCCACCCAATCTGCCGGCGGGCACACACCAGATGAGAAGATCGACATGCGGGTCACGAAGAAAATGACCACCTATCAGAGATACACAGAGGGGAACAAAATGAAGCCACCGCTTAAAACATACTCCCTCCGTTCCAAAATAGACGACTCAACTTTGTACTTAAGTTAGTACAGAGTTGAGTCATCAATTTTGGAACGGAGGAAGTATGAACCGTGCTCACGCAGCCGCACACAACCACATGCAATGCCCAAGGAAGGACCACCTGTCAGCGAGGTAATCCTGCGACACTGTGCGCCAGATCGAGAGGAAGGACCACATGGCACTGAGAACAGATTGCATCGGCCATTAGCAGGACAACAGTCAACGACAGCTCGGACTGGAAATGGCCTGAGAACGCCCGTATCCACCAGGTTTGAGACTTTATCTTGACTTCGGAAGCCAGTCCAGAACAATTGTCTGTGAGTAGTTGTTTCGAAACAGTGGTGCCATTGCTGGTCTATGAGTTCATATCTAATGGAACACTCTAGGTCCTTGACACACTTAAGCGAGTGCTAAGTGCTTGCTTTCATGGGATGATCACGTTAGAATTGCCGTAGAAACTGCGACTGCTCCTGCTTATCTCCACTTAGGCGCTACAATGCCAATTTCCCATAGGGATGTCAAATCAGCCAATATATTGTTAGATGATAATTTTCTACAAAGGTGTCTAACTTGGGTGCTTTAAGATCTGTATCACTCTAACATACTCCTGTGGCGACAATTGTACATGCATGGTAGGGTTGGTTACTTAAACAATGAGTATGGACTGACCGGGAGGAGTGATGCGTTTATAGTTTGGAGTTATGCTTGTGGAGCTTCTCATTAGAAACAAACCAGTTTTCATTAATTAATGACCTAAAATAAAACATAACTCGGCTCATTATTTCATGGAAGCACTTCATCGGGGAGTTCTCATGGAAATTATGGATTCTCAAGTTGTGGAAGAAGCAAATCTCAAAGAAACTGATGATATCGCATCAATAGCAGAATCATGCTTGAGAACCGAAGGAGGAGAGGCCAACCATGAAAGAGATGTAAATTGTTCATACTTCTATGATGAACAATTTCTTCCGCTTTCATGGTTAGCCTCTCGTAGTATGGTTTTCAAGTATGATTATGCTATTGATGCAATACCATCAGTTCCTTCAGCAGCTGCTTCTTGCACGACTTGAGAATCCCTAATTCCCATGAGACTTCCTTGATGTGGTGGTTCCAGATAGTAATGAGATAAGTTCTATTCGGTACCGGGGTCATTAATGAAATCAGCTTCTATCTAATAAGAAGCTTCACACGCATAACTACAAACATGACTCTTCTCAGTAGCGGGGTAGAACTCCGGGTCTAAGTATGCAAGTAACCAAATGTACGTGCGGGAGTCTGATCGAGTGATACAGACCTTGAATCACTAAACTCAGACACCTTTGAGGTAAAATTTTCATCTAGCGGTATATTAGTTGATCTGACATCTGTATGAAAATTGACACTAGCAGGTAACTAGAGATGATTAAACAGGAGCACCCGCAGCTTAGACCGCAATCCTAACGTGATCATCCCATGAAAAGCAAGCATCTAGTAACACTTACGGCGCTGTGTGTAGAAGGAGAACGGACGTTTGGCTCCCGGGAGCCATGGAGGCCTTTTTTTGAAAACAAATCAAAATTCAAACTTTTTGGTTTCAAAAAAATCTGAAAAAAATTGTGCAAGTAAACAAGTATGTTATGCCTATTTGTGTAAAATTTCAGAATGAAAAATGTTGAAATGTGAACTATACAAAAAAGACAAATTTCTGGTCCGGGAGGATGAATAGTGTCATGTGTTAAAAAGCCTCAGATTTGTCTTTTTTGCACAGCCCTCATTTCAACTTATTTTGCCCTGAAAATTTACACACGTGTGTGTTAGGCCTTCATATATATGTGTGTGTTTTTTCAGAATTTTTTGAAATGTAGAAAATATAAAATTCAACAAAATTCAAATTTTTCAAAACCGAGCTCCATGGAGCTCGGCCTCCAAAGACAATATTCGGTGTAGAAGGCCATATAAGTTTTCCACCAGAACTGAATAATTCATGCACCAGCAAAAGCGCCACTGCTTCCGTGTTCTTCAGACAGAATCCAAAATTTTGAGTTTTAGCCGATGATCAAGGCGCCGAGATCCACTGATTATCAGTTGTCAGCCCATGCAGGTTTGCAGCATGTATGGAAGATCACACAAGAAATTCTCGAGTTCCACTGACCTCTCGCCGGAAGCGCCGCCTTCTGCCGATCCGGGCCCCCCGGGGCTAGATCGGGCGACCCAGGGCCCATACGTGGCCGCCCCGGCGTCGGTCGGTGGTGCACGGTCGAACTCCACCACGAGGTGTCACGGTGGCCGGGAGGATGAGGCTTCGGGGAAGAGGAGCTCGAGAGGGGGAGGAATGGGGCGAGGGGATCCGCGGGGGAGGCGAGAAGAAATAGCGCCATGGGAGGAGAGCTCGTGGGAGACAAAAAGTGGACAACGTGCGGAGGAGAGTGATCCAAGGAGCGTTTCTCCCACGGGTCGTCGCCATCGCCAGTCATCGAGCACCACCCACCACCACCGGTGGCCAGCCAAGCCATGACGTTATCCCCTCACACACTCCGCCCTCCCCTCCCACTCCCGCTCCCGCTCCCGCCAACTTCAAACCGCCGCCACCACCGCCCGCCGCCGCCTCCCTCCCGCTCCCGCCCCCGCGCAGTCCGCCGCAGCGAACTCCTCGCCGGGGACGGCATGGCGTCGCACGGCTCGCACCCCACGCTGCTCGAGCACATGGGCCGGACCGGCGCGCCCGCCGACCTCGCCGTCCTCGTCGCCCACATCCAGGCCGCCTGCAAGCGCATCGCCGCGCTCGTCGCGTCCCCCGGCAACGCCGACCTCTCGCGGGCCAAGCCGGCCGCTGCCGGTGCCGCGTCCGCGGCCGGGCGCGACGCGCCCAAGCCGCTCGACGAATTGTCGGTGCGTGCTGCTTCCACAAGCTGTTTGATTTTGGTGTCGTACTGAGGTTGATTCTGAACGAGTGAACTGCTGTAGCTGCCAGTAGATTTTGGGATTCTGAACTGGCGAGCTGAATTCTGTAGAGTTTGGATTGTGGACATATGCACTGTGAAATGCTTTAGCTACGAGTAGATTTTTCTACATTCACAAATTTCTGCTCCTAGATTAGTTTACTTCATTTCAAAACTGTACCTCGTCTCAAGAATGACCGTCAGTTTCCACCATAATTTCACTGTTTTTTATTACTGTATCTGAGTATCTCCAATGGAACATATGCATCTTGCCATGAATAACAGCAGTAGATTCAAGTAACCTGAATACTAACTTCATTCTAAATTCAGAACGAGATCATCCTGTCGTCGCTCCAGAGCTCCGGAAAAGTTGCGGTGGTGGCGTCTGAAGAAAACGATCTCCCCGTTTGGTTGTGCGACGATGGTCCCTATGTTGTTGTCACCGACCCGCTTGATGGTTCTCGCAACATCGAGGTGTCGATCCCCACTGGAACGATATTTGGAATATATGATAGGCTGGTGGAACTCGACCAGCTTCCCGTGGAGGAGAAAGCTCAGCTCAATTCGCTGCAGAGCGGTTCTCGCTTGGTCGCTGCTGGATACGTCCTGTATTCATCTGCCACCATTTTCTGCATCAGTTTCGGTGCAGGAACCCATGGCTTCACGTTGGATAGATCGACAGGAGAATTTGTTCTGACGCATCCTTCCATGCAAATACCCCCCAGAGGTAAGTAAGATGCATATGTATATCAGTATTTCTCGCAATAGGAAAATATGTATATCGGTATTTATTAGTTTTCTGATCATCTTACTTATCAAATCTTGATTGGTTCTTTTTACCTAGTTCCAGTTTCACCGGTACTACAAGCTTTAGCAAATCAGACTTCTGAATTTATAGTGCTCAATGGGCATCAACACGACTACACGAGTAACTTTAGAAGATAGTATTATAGGATAATTTTTCTTATCTGAAATCTGAAATTGTTCCTTCTGCGACTTCAGCTATCCAGTATCCCTGTAACTTTAGAAGAATGCATGGTCTGACAGTTACTTCTATATTCCTCTCAAAATCTGTAATTGGACACAATGTCAGGACAGATATATTCAGTGAATGATGCGCGGTATTTCGACTGGCCAGAGGGCCTGAAGAAGTACATCGACACGATCAGACAAGGCAAGGGGCAGCATCCCAAGAAGTACTCTGCTCGGTACGTGTGCTCGCTGGTCGCTGACTTTCATCGGACGATCATATACGGTGGAGTCGCAATGAACCCGAGGGATCACCTTCGGTTGGTTTACGAGGCAAATCCTCTCAGTTTCCTTGCCGAGCAGGCAGGGGGGCGAGGCTCAGATGGCAAAACCAGAATCCTGTCCATTCAGCCTGTGAAGCTGCACCAGAGGCTGCCATTGTTCCTGGGGAGAATGGAGGACATGCTTGAGCTAGAAAGCTACGGAGATGTCCAGCAGAAGGTCAATCCTGGATACGATGTCTAATGTTAAGCATGAGGTGATAGCTTCAGGTATTGTAATGAGGTAACAGATGTATATGGCAAAATCTACATTTGCAAGCACAGTATTGTCTCTGTATTTTATTTTGTTGCCTTCTTGCCTAGGCAATTGCAGAGTACTGCACAGTGGAGGTCAGAAGAATTTGATGTAGTTCACTGTGAAAACAAAATATGCAATATGGCTTTTTTTTTGTAACGCCCATACATTTTACTCTCGGGAATATATAACTTACGAGCGACCAATGTTAAATATTTAAGGCAATTTTTCTGGCAACCCTTGCATTAGCAGATCCATGTAAGCTGTAGTAATAACCAATTTTTATGCAGCAACTGAACTTATTCATCAAACACTAGTGCTGAAAGCCCAAAACTGCGAAAATGGAAGGTTATAACAAAGGACACATGAATAAACCCTGCAGATGACCAAAATACATTCCACTCTTCTATCTCTAAGCATGTTCCCATATGAGGAATTGTGACATACAGGCATACAGCCAACATCATTGGCCCTGGCCATACAGGTCACAGTACCACAGCACACAGTGACCATTGGAAGCCAAGAATGACACCTTAGATCAGCGACAGGGAGGCAAACGACAGATTGATCCCTCACATCTATCCATACACTCTATAAACATCTCTGGAAAGCGGGAGGATCACAATGAAGATAGTCACGATGTACAAAAAGATGCCGAATCTGTCCAAAGTCGGCTAAAAAGATCACTGCTCCAACGCAAGCTGCTTGTGCTTGTCCAGATCATTGAGGTAACTCGTGCGAGTGTAGTCCTCTGAATCACAGGAGTCGAACATTGGGGGCTTTGTGGGTCTAGGCTTTCCCATCAGTTCGAGTGATTCCCTATCTCCCTTCATGAAACGGACCACCTGCAACCAAAGGCATCACTTCGTCAGTTTACAGAACTCATTTTGCACTTGAGGCGACAGGGACACCCAAATCACTCACCGATTTCATGCTAGGCCGCAAGTTTGCGCTGTGGTGGATGCACATGGACGCCACTGCCAGGGTGAGTGCCATCTCTTCTGGGTCATATCCAACATCAAGAGAAGGATCCACCAGCCCCTTCATGTTGTTCGACTCGAGCAGCGGTTTTGCCTTTGAAATGATCAAAAGAAATTTATGAATCCAAAGGGTTCAGAAGTATGTAACTATCCGGCTTTATGTTTTCCATGCACATTTTAGGACTAGAGTTGAGTCAGTTTGCTCTATTTATATTTATATGATCAAACAATAATTCAGTGAGCTAATTGGAATCTACTTGTGAAGTATATCAGAGCAATCTGCTATACTCACCCATATCACCAGGCTCTGTCTAGAAGAGTCCACGGCTTTCCGCCCTGTCACTAGTTCAAGAAGCAATACTCCGTATGCAAACACATCCGTCTTCTCATTTATGATCCCGTGCATGAAGTACTCTGGGGCCATATAACTGTAAAAGGGGGTAAAATCAAAGTTGAAATAACAATGACACATTGTTTTGGTCCACTAGGAAGATTTTTTCTCTTTTCAAAAAAAAGAGGAAAGCTCTGGGCTCTGCATCAACTGATGCAAGCAGCCAGTCTGGTGGGAAGCATGAAGTCATCATGAACATGGAGCAGTATTCAGAAATATATGAAACTCACCCGAATGTGCCTTCAATGGGGAATACAACCTGATGGGTGCATTTGTCAGGAAGCCACTTCGCAAGGCCAAAATCTGAAATCTGTGCAATGAGGGAGCAAAAAATGCATCAGTTTACATCATCAGGAGTAGTAGAATGGGCTAGGGCTAGTGTAACACTAATACGTACCTGAGGTTGATAATCTTCAGTTAAAAGAATATTTGAAGGTTTGATGTCTCTGTGAATTATGTGCCGATGGCAGCCTTCGTGTAGATAAAATAGCCCTTCAGCGATTCCAAGTGCGATATTGAACCGGGCCTTCCACTTGAGGGCTCCCTTTGCACCTGATCAGCCAAGCTCCATTAGTCATTACAATTACAGCACCTCTAAAGTACACTCTTATTTGAGTGGTCCTTTTCATTAGAAAAGGGTATGATCATGCATATGTTTTCAACTGAAGAAGTACTACATGAAGTGATGGTGCAATAAGTATATACATAAATGCAAATTATGAGCTTAATATGCACTCAACGGACATCAGCATTTAAGATACTTTTTAAGTGTTCACGTTGTGTTGGCGTACATGTCAAGATATTTGCTCTATTTCTCCTTTTTTGGAAGCCACCGCAACAAGTCAACTGTATCATTCATTGCCTAACTAACAAATTGTTCAGAGGACTGTACCATGGAGAAGAGAAGCCAAGCTTCCATGTGGTGAGAACTGAAGAACCAGGTGCAAGCCCCCTTCCACACTGAACCCCAAGAGCTGTGCCGCGTTTGGGTGGTTGACGTGCGCTATTATTCCAAGCTCGGATAGGAAATCGCTGATCCTGTCCTCCTTGTTGCCGCCTTTTGTTAACCTTTTCACCGCCACAAACTGTCCATCAGCAAGCTGTCCTTTGTACACCTCAGCGTGCCCTCCCTTTCCGATCAAATTATCTGGTAATATCGTACATTCAGATGTCAGGCAAAAATGTTTAGAGATAATTAAGACACAAAAAAGTAATCAATTCTGGCCAATAATGGCACTTTTAGTCTACTTGGAAGGAAGAAATAGAACTAGTATTAGGTTTCCACATCATATGGTCACAATTGTTGGAGGTACCACAATCTTGAAAACTGGACAAGCTAAAGAAACTAGTACAGAGTGACAACTGATGACAATAATGTGGTCTGGTACTTGAATTTTCCAACTAGCAACCAGTAACAACCATCATTAACCTAAGGAACAGTTCATGATTAGGACCTCAAACCCCCTTCAATCAGTGAAATCATGGGAGTACAATTATAAACCCATTTCTTTACGGCAAAGCCACATCCCACAAGCTTTGCAATGATAGTAACAGAGCCCAATTATCAAGGGCACTGAATGACAGCAACATAGGAGTTAGTGTTGCATGTTACCTGAACTGAATCTGTCAGTTGCAGCGCAGAGCTCGTCGTAGTCGAAGCTCCTCCATGATGGCCTCCACTTCTCGATCTCAGGGAAGATCTCCGGGGCGATTGCGCTGCAGTCCATCTGGTTCTTGCCCCTCCGCATCCTCCCCAGGTACCTTTTAAGCCCCGTGCTCTTGGACCGCTGAGGGAACGTCACCGCCCTGGCCATCAGCTTCTTCCTGCTGAGTATCAGCCCACTGATCAAATTCCTCCACTGCAGCGGCTGCACGCTGCGGCTGGGCTCCGCCGGCTGCTCGACGGAGGAGCTCTCGTCAGAGTCGACGCTGCCGGACACCGATATGTCCAGCACGGCGCGGGGAGAGCTCTGGTCGGTGCACAAGCTGTTCTCATCATTGCAGCTCTTGGAGAACATTTCAGGCACCTCTTTGCCACCTCCATCAGAACCGGCACACTGGCTGCTGCTGCTGTCACTGCTATGCCCCTCACTGGTATCTTCACTCGGTACAGCGGCATCAGTTACCGAACCACTGCTGCCGCAATCCGCATCGGCAAGTTCGCCTGAGCTTCTCCTGCTCTCTTCCTGGGCCGCTCCTTGCACTAACCGGACAGACAAAAAAACAAGATTTACACAAATCAGCAGGAGCAGCCACAACAAGTCTGCATGGCAACAAAACCGAAGTCTCTATTCATGGACAAAACCAACCACCAGCCATGAAAAACAAGACAAAGCCCGCTGCCCGTCGCCGCAAGGTACAAATCATTGTCACACACAAGGCCCCATTCTATTTTTCCATTCCATTCCATGATGATTCATGATAGGGGGACGTTTGTGCTCCTCTGGTTCGGCGATGAAAAGCACATGCTGCCATGTTGATTTGCCAACCCCATGCAGGGATCCCCGCCCCCTAACAAATTGACATCTGCACCACCACCCCCTCCAAAACTGATGCTTTCCTTGCGCCTACCCCGTCCAAGGCTGCAACGGAACGGAATGGAATGGAATTCACCCATGCAGGGACATGTAGGATCAAGTGGGTGCGGATTGATAAAGAAATGTGGATGTCAACTTCGGGGATTTTGGTAGGGGATGGGGAAATTTTGGGGGAATTTGACATGCTAGCAGTCTTTTATTTGGAGAGATACTGGAGACAGCTCAACCTAAAATTTAAAACTGTTGGAAATAGGGCCGGAATCCGAAAACTGATATCAATAATCTCTCCTCAAAAAGACTAAGCTCTTGGTCAGTCCTGGAGCACGTGTGGTGGCACAAATTCAATTCTTGGGATTGAAATGAGGTAAATTAAATTTGGGTGAATTTGACAACCTGCCAGTCTTTTATTTGGAGATATACAAGAGACAGCTCAAGCAAATATATAAAACTGTTAGAAACAGAGCCAGGATCATAAAACTGACATCAATAATCTCTCCAAAAAAGACTAAACTCTCCGTCAGTCCTGGGAACACGTGTGGCGGCACAAATTGAAACTCTTGAGGATCGAAATGGGACCAAAAAAATAGCTTAATTTTTTATTGCTACTACTACTAAAAAAGATATCCCGCATCTGCTTACTAAAGCACGATAATCATCAACTGCCTCTGTTTCATCAAACCAAAAATACTAGTAAACACTTGGTCAGTTCTTGGACTGGAACACGTGTGGTAACAGCACGAATTAAATCCTTTGAAGATTGATTGAAATGAGACCGAAAATAAAATAGCTTGAATTTAGTGAATACTAAAAAAAGGAGAGATTCTGCAATCCGCCTGATGAGGCAGGAGAATCAGAGGAGGAAGCAGAGGATCCGGCTAATTACTCACACCGGGGCAGCAGCAGCAGCAGTACAAATGAGGAAAGCAATCAATCAGTAGCCACGGCGCTCACCTTCCTCGCCGGAGCCAAGGAGAGGATCCTCCGCCCTCTCCGCTCCTCCTCCTCCTCCGCCGCCGCCGCCGCCTGCAGGTTCAAGCAGGA